TTGTAACTACGATAGTATTGTTATTTTATTTATATATTTATTAATGTAGTGTACAATTAGTTATTGTTGTCCTGTAATTGGGAAATTAATCCTGTTGGACAATAAAGTATATATTATTATTATTATTAAGTACTCTTCAGAATTTGACTCAAGATCTCCATGCCATTTATGCTCGTAACTGGTTAACAACATCCATATTTTATGGGAAATATTAAATTGTCTAGTACAGAGTTGTATGTTGATTTGAGTGTTATCATTAACAGCGATTTATCGTGGTCTGACCATGTCGTACGTGTCACGAAGAAGGCAAATAGATACTATTTCTTGTAAGCAAAACATTTGCTAATGCCACCCCTGTAATATTTTCAAAATTATATAAAACTTTCGTAAGGTCTTTGTTTGAGTTAGCTAATTGTGTTTGGTCTGAAAGAAATATCCCTCCTCGTCTGTCAGATTTAGTGTTATTTCTAGGAAAAATTAGTGTATAAATAACTATTCGGATTCTGTATGACACCTTCCCTGAAAATTTGAAAAAAAAACAATAATTATTATTAATTAAGATCTAAACAACAAATTAAGATCATCAAACTTATCTACATTGTCATAATTACTTTGTCCGTTCCCTTCAGGACTTTGAGCATACGCTTCTTGAACTTTTACACTTCTGTTTTCGGTTGTTACATCCATCTGGTTGTACAACAGGACACAATGTGTCATAGTTAATGTTGGAATTAACAAAATTTACAGAGAATACATACAACATACTAAAATTTATATACAGGGTTATTAACGAAAAGCTTCTCGTGTAAAAAAATCAAAAAGCAATTTAATAATTTGGAAATAAATATCAATTATTAGGTTAAAATCAAAAAGAAATACATTCAAAGCAAGAGCTCGTCCGAGCAGCTTTGGCATGTTCTCTACACAACCATAAAGCACAATATTTTATATGAACAGGTTAATATCTACAAGTAAATTGGTTATTTGATACTTTTCTAAATGCATCCAAATATCCAAGTAATCGGTTCTACGGTTCGCGATCTATGTTATGCCTGAGAAGAAGAACCAAAATTTCATAAATATTTATTTTTCAGAATCTCGACGAAATTATTAATTACCTACCATTTGACGCTTCCGCGCTAATTCAGGCGTTGAGGCCAAATTTATGATTATTATTGTAACCATTGTTGCTAAACCATGACCGTTTAAATTAGGGAGCTCAGTCCATCTCGTCTCCAGTTTCGAAAAAGTCCACCCCTGTCTATTGACGTCATCCCGCGACCTACTTTCGCCGCAAGGGGCTGCTGCAGCCCAGCCATGACGTCACTTACCCCCACCGACGTCAGAAAAGTAGAAATTTCGTCGATCGATCTGGCTGTCAGGGTGGAAAATGAAGCAGAACGGCGAACCGTCACTCTATATTTTTTAGGTAAAAGCGCACTTCGCCCCCGGAATAATCGAATTCTTTGCTAGATTTAATATTTATGTTTGTATGAATTTCAATGGGGTGTCATCCCCTAGCGAAAGTTTAGCGCCTTGCGCGAACGCCGAGGGCCGCGAGCATTTATTTCGAGTGCGCCGGTTGATTTACTACGTCGTAAAATTATTTTATAACTTTACATAAATTAATTGGAGCTGTTTACGATACGAGGTGAATGTTTGAGAGGTTAGTTGCGAATATTTAAGTGGTCGGCCGATTTGACGAGTGGTGTTTATGGTGGTTTTTCAGCTCGCCAAAATACGTTTGAAATGTCAAAGGTCGACGCAACTTTGTTTGGAGCTCGTTTTGGGGCCAGTTTTGCCGGGACTGACGCAAACGGATTTTGCTTGTCCAAATGAGGGAGATTTTGGAGTTTTTACGCACAGGATGTTTCTCTTAGTTCTGTTCTGCATTTTAACTTCCATTTCCCGAGAGGAAGCTATTGAAGTATTTGTAGTAGGGTCCACTTGACGAATGGATAATTTCACGCTTCATAGTTATGAGAATACAAAAGAATAGGTCTCCCGTTTCCGTCTGTCTGTTGTTTGTTAGCGATCTCATGAACAGTATGTAAATTATATCGTTCCAAAAATTTTGTAATTTTAAATAAATTTGTATTTCTAAACTACAAATCATGTTTGGTCAAAAAAGTTTTATTATTTAACCAACGATAACAGTGTTGGTAGCGTACAAAAAGCAACATTTAAATTATGTTGAATATGCAGCAGAAGTGAACACATTATGTAAGGATTTTCAAATGAGCCAAATTACACTTGATGAATTCAAGTGTTTAATTTTTGTTCGGGGACTAAAATGAAGTGCTCAGTCTGGCTTTAGAGCAAAATTGTTGTCACCGTTGGACAACCGAAACTCGTCTGATTTAAATCTTGAAAAATTGGTGACAGAATGTCAGTTGATAAGACTGTAGCCGCTTCGTTTACCTTCAGTGTTAATTTCGCTTGTGCTATTTTCCTGAAATATTCCAGTGACTGTAGAGCTGAGAGATGAGTGACAGATATATTCTTCAGCTACTGCTTTCTATCCCCACGACTCTTTAAAAGTGTCATATCATCCCCATAGTCTGCCAACAATGTTCAGCAACCACAGTCTTTGATATTCTGTAGTTTTGTTTTTACTAATTCTTCACGTCTACAATCTCCACAAACTTCAAACAATAGGACAATCATTAAAAAATAGTTCTTCTATGCTTAATAAAATACTCTAGATACATTGACTTTAGTTTCCACATATTTTTCATTAGTTGCTTTTGCTACAAATTTAATAGACTGATCCCTCTGTCAGAATAGAGTAGTGGCCCCACAGTAAGGAACTCCTTATATTAGGAATATTTTTAATTCAATAAAATAACTCAGCAATGCATGTTCAGAGTAACATTTTATTTTTTACTACACAATAATTTAAAAATGTTTGATAAAAGGCTTCCTAAACAGCTGTTGCTTTAGAAGATAATCGATTTTCCAACGTCACTTTTGCTGCTGCTCAACTTCCGGCGGAGTGAACGGCAATTCAACATCTTCATCAGCCATAATTTACAAAATAACTGGACAGATAAATAGCTGGAAATTTTTGCTGAAATTATATATAAGTACTGAGCTATATTTCGACTTGTTTTGAGTATTCTGAACGCCTTGGTACACGTGCGATATCCAGAATTGACTCTTTTCGAGAAAAGGAGACGACTGGGTATAGTTTCCACGTTGTGGTCTTTGTAGCTTCAAGGAATTCGTTCAAAAACTTCAAAAATGTAACTTTTAATACTTTTTGTAATATTTTCTAGTTATTTCTCCACCCTACGGACTTGAAAGTACGATTAAATAATAATTAAAAAAAAAAACAAATACTCCTAATTAATTTGTACCAATTTTATTTGTAATTTTTTGTATTAAACACAAAAAAATGTCTGGCATTTTTGCTTTTACATTTGTCATTTCTTGACATTTTTCAGTGTGGTTTATTCACCGTCACGCTAATAAATTCTTTCCAAGAATGACTCTCAATTTCAAATTCTATTGATCGCTGGATATAATAAAATAAATATCTCTGTAACAGTTTTTACTACCATGCATAAATAAGCCAACAACAATACTTTTCTAATTTCTGATATTATCACCAAATCAAGCTAGATTTAATAAAAAATAATCGAATTAGCCACGAAATGTTAAACCTAGCTTCACGTTCGACGTAATTCCCCTCATAAATAAACCATCTAGCCCCGATATAAATCTACCTAACGTGGAAGTTTTTCGACCGCTCTAAAGCACCACCATCAACTTTCAAACTGAAATTTACACCACAGCTTGACGTCCTGAATTAGCAAACTCATCTGATGCGATAAAAATTCCTCGCAGAGAAGCGCCGAATTTCGCCGTGAATAAAAATTTCGCCCCCTATCAATTCTCTCGGCGATTGTTGATACAATTCTCCAATTTAACTTAACACAATTACACCTGCAGCTGCGCCCAGCCGAACCATCACGTGATCCTATCGCCTGTAAAACCAACAATGTCCATCAGGCAATCCATCTTTTCCCTGTTGACTGTATCTGTCTCTGTCGGAATTTGGGGGGACGTACTCGACTCAAAGGGAAAAATTTCGAAGTTCGTTCAATCATGATATACATCTAACAAGAGTGTCAAAATCGTCTCGTGTAAATCAAGGTGCCAATATAGTGGGCGAAACGCGTGAAATATCGATATCAATTGGTTCCGGTGTCGCGAGTTTGCTTAACGTCCTGTGACGAAATTTTCTTGGCGATAATAACAATAGTAGTGATGAAAAATTAATAACGTGTAATATAGCTATGTTGTAAGTATAGTATTCGACTAAAGTCATTGTAAAATTATTATAGCTCAAAAATAAGTTACTCAGGGGTAAAAAATACCATTAAATATGCTTCATACGTGTACAGCGTTTAATTTTTCAAAAAGAACATTGGGTAAATCCAAAAAACCATTGATTAGCTTATGTATAAAACATAACTTGTGGAATATTTGACCCTTTTCTAGAGAAATAAAACAAATATAATTTAATACGTCATTACCATCCAACTGAACATGTTGCAACGACAATTTATAGATATTTCAAATATTTAAAAAAATCTGTACTTGCCTCACTGAGGTTTATGTGAGTGATATAAAACTGACACTATATACAATACATGTATACTCAAGACTAGATTGAACTAAGGAATTATAACGAGCGATAAAAAACCTCTAGTTTTTGTGTTATTAAATTTAAAAATTCCCTTTCAAATTTCAAGAGTTTTACATGTTAGTGAAGAGTGCTTGACATTATTAAATTGGTCTAAAGTTATTCGAAGTTCTAAAAATTGATTTTAAAAATGTTATTTTTACTTCTTGTTGTTACCAGTTGCTAGACAGATGGAAACGTAAGATGTACAAAAAAACCTCGCACAGGAACTAGTTAAAACCAATTATCAATAGATAAACACAAGTTTGACCCAGTTCCTCTCAGCCCATCTCCACCACAACCCACAACTACAATCCCAAAACCCACAATATCACTTCCTGTCCAAGCAAAACCCCCTTTCTCCAACCCCGAGATTTATTAACGTCTATCTGCCCACGCCAATGCATAATGCATCCACTTATTCGTCGGAAGTCGATGGGAAATTGTGAAGTCACACACGAAAACGCGATCGCTGCGCGTCAAAAGGTTATCTAAAATAGTTTTAGGTCAACATTTAATCAAACTCATTCCGTATAGATCTTGACGAAAATGAAGTCGACTTTATTGCTGTCAGTTTTTTGTGCGACTTTCCTTACCTTTCCGATAAAATCTTCGGCGTCTTGGATTGCACTGGAAAAGGCAAACCGAACCAACGTAAAAAGTAAGGCAATTTCCTTAAGATCGATAGATATTCATCATTTTATTGCTTTCATACCTCGCAGGATATGAAAAACATTGTCTGGGGACGATTTTTAACATCGGGCCCATGGATAAAGGGGAGGTTAGAAGGATTGAGGGCAGTTGTGCTCAGGCCACTTGTCTGGACGACAGGAATATCAGGTTTTCGGGGTAATGGAGTTATTATTATTTTAAATAGGGGTAGAAGGGTAACCGCTGCCAAGGCAGAATTCGATCTTAAAAACTTGTCGCACTGAGCAGTTGGGTCGTGTATGAAATAAGTATCTCCTGCAAATTTTATATTATTTGTTTTAGGAGTTTTATATACTAACTGTTTCATTGGGGATATTTAACAACATTTTTATCGAATACAGGTATTTTTGTTAAATGGAGATGTCATTTACACTATAAGTTGTAAAACGACAGTGTTTATCCCGAGCATAAACTAACGTTTTGTTTTTAAAAACACTTGAAAAACTCTTGGGGTAGTTATGTATTTTTTTAAGAATTAAAAAAAATCCTAGGGGTTCCTGGTATTTTGTTTTAAAAATAATTTGAAAGAATTTTGGGGACTGCCGCTATTTTCATTTTAAAATTTGAAAGTATCTTGGATTGCATGGTCTTTTTTAAAAAATTAAAAGAATGTTGGTTCTACTTGGTTGTCCTGGTATTGTGTTTTATGTTGACGAAAAATATTCATCGTATTCAATCGGCGATTGGAGCGCGGTCGTCTGTTGTTTGTTGAGTAGGCAACAACAATAATCAAGACAAGAATAACGTTTTTGTAATAATTTTGAATTGCTATTCTAATTCTGCATTTTTATGCAATAAAGTTAAAACAAGTAATTTTGTAATCAACATTGCAGACACAATTTAAGTTTAGAAGCACAGTACTCAGCGTTCATTCTGGGCCCATAACCTTTTGTTATAACTTTATTGAATGAAAATAATAAACACACTCCAACCAGTAGTACCATCGTGTCTCAGGAAAACTACGATACCTGGAAATTACGGATGCAGGTTGTGATGACAAAAAACAAGATATGGAGGTATGCGAGTGGTGCAAAAATGACACCAGTAGTGAGCCCAAACAACACAGAAGAAACTGCAGCGCTAGTTCTGTGGAAAGAAGAAGATAAAAAAACTAAGGCGGATTTGTATTTGAGGATCTGAAACAAGTCAAAAACTGTAAAATTGCTGAAATCTGGCTGAAGTTAGAAGCAATTTTTGAATCAAAAGGCCCGATTAGAAAAGCATCGTTGTGGAGAAAGTTAATAAAACACTAAATAGAGGAGAATGGTTGATAACGCATTTTTCGATATTTTGAATACATTGATCGAATTGTCATTTGAAATAAGGTCAAAAAAACTTGCTTCACTTCTGTTACCGATGGCAAATCTAAAATCATGCTATGGCACGGGCGATTGGGACATTTGAATCAAAAAAACCTTGTAGAAATGGCAAGAACAGAAATTGTTTGCGACTAGATTTAGGAAACGAAAAGTTGTTTAGAGGGCAAACTGATGATAGGTTTACCACTTCCGAAAAGTACTAGAAAAAGCAGCAATCCACATGAAACACTACATATTGGACCCAAGAAAAGGTAAATTAGATTCACGCAGCATAAAAAGAATTTTCGTCGGGTATAGTGCAACATCTAAATGTTGCCATGTATGGATACCCAATTTGTTCAAATTAGTTTTTTCACATGATGTTAGATTTATATATGTATATTAAATGAAAACGTCCATGTAATTTTACATCAGAAGTCGAGGACACAAACGAAAATAACAAAGAAGTTAAAGAAATTCCTGCAGTGATAGAAGTAGTTAATGAAAATCAGCATACGATCAAAGAAATGATGATGAAGTCACAAATCGAGAAGATCTAGTAGATTCGGCTTTTCATGGCACGGTTAATGAAAGTTTGAGGAAGGCAAAGAAAATAATGTCTGGTTAACGGGAAGTCTGTACCGAATTCCTGAAAGAATCGACACGGCTGATGTAGAAGATCAAACAGAAATTCCGGTCCCGACTGAACCTGTGCCGATTGAAATACATATATAATTCAAGTCAAGATAGAGAATCATGCACTGAATGGATGCCATTCAGAAGAATAGAAGAAGGTTATAGTTGATGAAATAGAATGGATAATAAAAAACGATAACTTCAGCGTTGTTGATCGTCTAAAAGGCTGTAATAGGTTGCCGAACTGTGCTCTGAAACAAAAACAAGGCAAATGAAGAAATAGAGAGGGGAAAAGCTCGAGTAGTCGCAAGAGGATTTAATCAACGACCAGGAGTGCACGTCCACAAAACTTTTCCTCCTGTTGTCCGCTTGAGTTCTGTAAGAGTATTATTTCCTCTTTGTTTGCACTTAGATCTAACAATTTATTAATTTGGTATAACGACCGGCTACCTAAATCGCATAATCGAAGAAAATGTATATATGGAGAAGTCTAAGTTATTTACTGAATCCTTAGTAGAAATTATAAAAAGATGAAATGCAGACCATCTGATCGGAATCAAGGCTAGATACTTATTGAGAAAATCAGCCGAGATAATAAAGTGTGGAAGCTCCGGAAAGCGCTTTATGGGTTAAGGCAGGCTGGACGCCAATGGAACAAAAGACTTGATGAAAAATTTAAAAATATGAAGATGATACCATTTAACGCGATCCTTGTGTATACCTATCTAGACTAGCGGGAGACATCTTGATAATATTAGTATCAATAAATGATATTGAATTGTGCATTGTAAAGAGGAAGATTTAAATTCTGTCAAAAGAGAGTTGATGAAAGACTTCGAATTAAAAGTCTGGGAAAGGTTTTTATGTCTCAATTCGGATTTATAAAGTAACTGCTTAAACGGTTTGGTATGCAAGATTGCAACGAGTGGTAACTCCATTGGAAGTAGGCGTTAAGCTGGTGAAGAATGCCCTTTCCCTTCGCCTTATCCATACCGTGAACTTATTGGCGCATTAAATTACGCAGCCGTGGCAACTAGGCCAAACACTACATACGCAGTAAGTTTTCTAAGTCAATTTAACACTTCCTTTGACAAATCTCGCTGGACTGTAGCAAAGCATGTATTAAGTACTGTACAATTTTCGAAGGCTTGATGGGCTACATAGATGCAGAGTGCAGACTGGGCCAGTTGTAATATTGACAGAAGATCCTACACTTGTTACGTTTTTACTATGAGCGGATCTGTCATTACCTGGGAGTGTAGAAAACAGAACCGTATCCCTCTAAAAAGAGTTTCGCCTCCGGTATGGTTGACATACTGAGTTACCGTGCTCTTTTGCTTTATTCTTAACTCTGATCCTGAAGATGCCACTTACGAAAGTGTGCGAAACGTTGAGCCCAAAAACGCAACTTACACGGTTCCAATCCGGAAAACGATCATGTACCGTAGCCCTATGTTTAACCGAAGCTGTCTGTATATATCGCTTTGACAGAAGGAGCCAATTTTGAATGACAACAGGAGCCCAGCTGCTGGCTAAGAACCCGATTTTCCATTCAAAATCGAAACACATTGATGTTAAACACCATGCAAGAGAAGTATTTCATGAAGACATGATTGAAATTCGACACTAACTTAGAATCCACTGAAATGCCTGTGGACATCCTTAATAAAGGACTGCCAAAAGAAATACGTCAGAAGTTTTCGAAACTGTTGGGAATTACTCATCTGTGGAGCGTTCCATTCGAGGGGGAGTGTTGAAGAATAATATTCATCGTATTCAGTGGGCGACTGGAGCGCGGTCGTCTAGTGATTGTTGACTAGGCAACAATATTAATCAAGACAAGAATAACGCTATTCTAATAATTTTGAATGTGAAATCCGTTTTTGTATTTTCATACAATAAAGCTGTAATAACTAGACAGCGGATGACCGTTGGGGTTGAGAAGGTCAAACTCGGTACAGCTCGTACGGGATGGGAATTCAGTGCACTTCGTTTATTTTAAAATAGAATAACGCTCCTTCGTTGCACTCTGTAGTTAATTCCCGTTCTTATTTACTTAACCGTGTCACTAATTACGAGTAAGTTTTCGTTAATTGTATTTATGGAATAAGTGGCGATTAAATTCAGTGCTTATCACCTACTGAGTCGCGGCGATCCAGCGCGTCCCCACCTATAATCGTGACGTAGCCCGACAGAAATCCGCTCTCTAGTAATAACATTATAGAAATAATTTGAAAGAATGTTGAGGTTCTTGGTACCTTTTTGTGAACGAATTTAAAAGCATCTTGAAAGGCTCTGCTGTTTTCATTTGGAAAAACATTGAGAGAATTAGGGATCTTTGTGAAAGAATTTTGTGGTGTAGGTAGTTGCATAGGTGTGGGCGCACGCAGTGCAGAGCATGCGCTACAGAAAGAGAGCAATGATGGCCGTCGAATAGAGCGTTAAGTTAGAGAAGTTGTGTTTCTTTATTTGTATATAATCGCGGGTATTAAATAAGGCAAGGAAACTATGGAGTTTTATTTAAGAAACACTACAGTGGCGACGAGGAAAATTATGGACAGATCGGCGTAAGTTAAAGAGAGAGTGAAAAAGCGGTGGCCACGTGGCAGTTAAGCGTTGGAAGAAAAAAAACAAGATGGGCGGCGAAGATACGAAATCAAGTGAGGCAAGATTTACGAATGTGGGTCATCTGAGGCAGTTTACACTCAATTCAGACTGGAAGATTTTTTATACTCAATTGACGCAATATTTTGTGGTGAACAACATCACAGACGACAGAATTCAACAAGCTCTACTGATCAATTGTTGCACCGAAGAATCATACAAGTTGCTGGAGAATCTATGTGTTCCAGAAGATCCAACGAAGAAAACATTCAGGGAGTTAATTACACTGTTTGACAAGCATTTTGTCCCCCCCAAGTTACATTTCCCAGAGAGGTATAAGTTTTATCATGCAGTGCGAGGGCGAGACGAAGAGATAGTCGAGTGGGCGTCCCGAATCCGACATTTGGCGTCGAAGTGCAAGTTCGGGGCGGAACTACAAGTGGTACTGAGAGATCGCTTTATCATGGGGCTTGGCGAAGGAGTTATTTTAGATCGCTTATTGGAGGAAGATGTGAGTAACCTCACGTTGCAGCAAAGTGTCGATATTGCGGCTAGTAAGGAGGCGTCGAGGCACCGTTATGTATTGGACTCAGGAAGGTC